GAATATGTAGTCCATTTCATCTGAGGGGTCGGACTCTGGTAGGGCAGGCCAGCAAAGATTAAATCTCAGCTCATCTGATTGGACCATATAAAGATTCAAACTGAGCTAATTTCATGCCGATCTGGCTGCCTCCAGTGAAACTATCCAGAAGGCAAGAGGCTACAATGATTTGGAAAAGAACAGACAACAGATAAATGGTGAAATAAAGTTGAAGGGCCTTCTTACCTTTGAGAAGAAATATTTCAATTTAAATGTATCATTTTATCAGCGTAAGGTCCTCCAGCTTTGCAGCTCTGAGATTACACCAATTAAATACCAAATATGGTGAACTAGCTGCAAATGAACATGTGCTAATGTTTAGCGCTATGCTGTTCAGCATTCAGCTCCAACTAGGTTTGACTCTGGTGCACATCTATAGCAACTATTGCCCTGAAATGAGTGAACTGATAAGTCTCATTCAGCTAGAAACACAACCTTAACGTTGCAAATGTATCTTTTTGGTCATTTCACAAAGCTTTATGAATTTAACTTGATTTTTTTTTTGCAAATAATTATTTTTTATTCATTACATAGTTCATACGCAGATTTAATTATACTCAATATTTTGTTCTTTTACCAAAGCTTTAAGCTGAAAACCAAAATTTTACATGCAGTATTTGTGTTTATATATTGTACTGTACGTAGGGAAACTCACAATGTTCAACATCTGTAAAAAAACATGAACATGGATAGGTAGTTTCTTGTTCAGCTCTTATCTGCATGGTATATAACAGCCTGTATTTGTATTTGTTGCTGTAAATTTGGCGTATGAACTCTTTGGTGTGAAATATTTCTGACCAGCAAGGTTTATCGTAAATTTAAGTAAACAAATTTTAGAAACTACTTTGGTATCTGGTGGTTTTTGCAAACACTTTACTACTTTTTTTCATATTTGATCCAATCCTTGTATTTCGTTTGTAATTAACTGACTAATTAATGATGAAATAGTAAACTGGTGAATTAACATAAAAAAAATAAATCTTTCGATCATTCAAGCCAATGTTCTGACCCTACAATGGCTAAACATTTCTGCTCTTCCAGGGGTAGCACTGTGTATCATTATCAAACTCTGAGGTTCCAGCTGATCACCTGACTCTGTTTGGATAAACCAGCAAACATCCAGAGGAAACAGCACTGGTTTGTCGCCAACCCTTCTCTTTCTCTGCACTTTGCTGCTGCTGAGCTCTGCCTTTGGGCACGATAGATTTGACACAAGAGTGCTGATGAATCTCATCAGTTTAATGTGTTTATGCTTGCTAAGCCCTAAAAGCTTATTGCTGTTCAATGGAGTGCTACAAAGTTACCTAATTTCCCCCTGGTCGTCTCTCAGCACGCAGACTCTCTCTGGGTTTGCTGGCAACACAGACTCCCAATAACATGATGTACTCTGCAACCTGTGGAAGACAGAAGGCACGCTGTGTCTCACTGATTTGTGTTATTGGCGAGAGAATAGACCTTGACAGAAATACAGTGAGCGCAGATATTACTGTTTTTTCTAACTTAAATTCAACCCATGACTGTCTCTCTCTTTCCACATTGATCCCTTTTTACAGCCTTTTCACTGTAAGTGCTTTAGTCTTATCTCCGTTGCCCCTACCTCGCCTGTCTCATACTCTAACCAATGAGGCTGGCGGCCTATATGACAGCTAACACCCAGTATTAATTAAAATGTCATGCCTCCAAATCAATATTGTAAAACAGTTCAAACACAACTCATCGCCACTGCTGTGATAAGTGCTTTTGGGTGACAGGTAAGTCCAAAGGAAGAGATACGAGAGAATGGTGTGACGGAATTATCCAGGGAGAACATGTAACATTAAAATTTATGACCCCCCTATGTGTTACTTCATTGCTCACAATTGCAAATTATCCACACTGTCATGAAGTACGCGGCGCTAAACTGACAGATCCATAAGTCAGCAGCAACAGGCCAGGAGGCTTGACGTAAGAACTCTTCAGCCTTACTGCAGTGCATTAAAAGTGACTAATACATACTCATTTAAGAAGGGGGCTGTCAGAGGGCAGATTTATCAATGCTACTAAAATATTCCATCTGATTACGTTCACGCAGTCTTGTCTCTATTAGGACAAAAACACAAAGCGGGATGTCAGCTATTACCAAAGTACTTTTTAGAGGACTTCTGTGACACACGGTACGAGCTTCTAGCAAAGTTTCCCTTAAAAGTCAAAAAAACGTAGAACTCCTGTCGCAATATTCCAACTATTATGGAGGCAAATTGGGCTGATACAAAACTTTGTGAGGCCGTACGTGTTCGCACATACTCATTGTGAGACAATGTTCAAAAGCAATGCTCAGGATATGGATAGAATGTGACAAATTCTGTCAGAGTAAATATGGTTTAATAAATGAATTAGCTTCATAAATAATGGCTGTAATGACATTTTAGGGGACAATAAGCCTAAGCGTTGTCAGGAAATAGTTGATGTATGAGTTTCATGCCTCAGCGGTTCCTCAAAATGAATAGGCATGGGAAGATAGCAGGGGCCTGCAACCAGCCTATTTCCTCGAATTATCTACTTGTTGTCAATTTGCACAGTGGAATTACACATGCAAATTGAACTGCCTGCACAAACACCACTTGGAGATGATAAAAACAAATTAACAAAGGCTATAGAAGGAGGATTTATTTCACTGGCTAACCCAGGTCAAGCAATACATGTATTTTACGATTGTGTGTACCCAATTTTGGTGTAATTATATCAGCAAATTATTCTTTGTAATCTTATTATTTTTTCCCCAACCTTCTCCTTACACACATAATTAACTCCCTTCATATCCTCACTGAAAAAAAACAGCTTGCCTCTGCATCAGAGTAACACAGTGTAATCTGATTTGGGGTTCATTTTTGTCACCTTTCTGCAGCTGAAGTACAGAGCGAGGTGAGAGGTCGACAATTTAGTGGCACTGTTTAGTGTAACTGCTTGGCTAAGGAGCAGACAAATCTACACAGTGTAAAAATATATATATAATCACCTCTTAACATCATCGCTCATACTGGGGAGGAAATTAAGAGTCCCCAGACCTCCACGTTTGCTATTAGATATCTCATTTACTTTGTACACACAGTGCTAATCTGCACTAATGAATTCTGCCACACCAAGCCAGATCGAGATGACTTAAAATTATTACCACTTCCACAGATATGCCTTTCCTCATTTGAGGCTCAATTTGGCTGCCTCGCAAAAACAGTCTGTCACAGTAAGATACTAATAATTAGGGTTTTAAGATGATTAGTTTATCTCTGTGCTCTTACAGTCCTGCCTCTTATCCACCATGGCCAAAACTTAATAAGAGGCTCTAAGTTTTAAACAGCCAACTCCAAATTACCAAGAAATGACAGAAATAATGAACTGGAGCACATGCCAGGGAGAGATGGAAACAAGGAGAGGGAGTCAGCTAGAGAGAGAGAGAGGTGGGTGGTGGGAAAGCTGAGAGACATTAATTCAAGTGTGAAATAGAACACAAAGTCTAGTAATCAATAAGGAAATGATTCAGACCTGCAATGCCAAATTTGTTTAGTATTAACAGGACTTTGTGGCTCTCATTTACCTTCAGACACTGATGTGCTCATCAGCTTGTCACACATGTAATTAACGCAGCGATTATGCTGAGTGAGCGATGCCAGTTAATGGTTGCATATTTCCAAGGATGAGATAGAGAATTTTTTTCACGTTTTCCATGACATTCAATATAGTATAAGCCTTATCAGTCAGCTTTAATGTGCACTTCATTTAGCAAAAGCAAACTAAGTAACATCTCTCATCTTAGGCTGCAGGAAGGTCAAGGAGAGAGCAAGGTCCCCATCTTTTACTTTTTTTTTCATATTACATTAATAGCACAACACTCTTACTGAACAACTTACCAATTATTTTTTGAAAACATAGCTTATAGCTCATAAAATATGCCCACTCTCAATACCTAAACCCTGAATATAAAACCTTGTACAGGCTCACTAACCCAAGAAATGTGTGTTTAAGAGAGAACAACAGACTTCAGAAAGTGGAGCGAGAGAATATTTGACATTTTCTATTGACCCCCCCCCCAAATTACTCAACTACACTTTCTATAATGTATTTCCATAGATTCAGCAGTTAATTATTTAAAAAGTGATAATTTTACACTACATCGTTTTAATTGAGGAAATGTTTATGTGTGGCTTATAAACATTTGAAGTTTGAGGTAATAGACTGAAGAAAGAAAAACGGAGGTCCTGTAACTCTCCTCCAGTACAGCACGCAATACTTATGTTTAAACTTGAGGTGTGTTTCCCTTTTCATGTCTGGCTTACCTGAGCACTGGTTTTAGGCCGTTTTACATACACATCAGTGTCACTGGTCTTCCCCATTATGCTACACTTGCATAGCACAGAAAATACAGGCTGTAATTTATGTATATTATGGGCCTTGCAATAAGATGCAACCAAAGAGAGTCTAATGAGAATGAGTGTGAAAGAGCAATTTAAGGCTAGATGCCTCTGCCAGTGCCGGGGGCTATACAAGATTTGCATGCTAATCATTCTAATAATAATGTAATGCCCAAAGCACTTTAAGCAAATTGCGAACTATTGGTCAGAGAATGAAGCTTATCTCACAGAGAACATAACACAAATATAGGTTAACATTTGAATGATTCCTGGTAATTCATGGACCTGTCAGTAGCCCGGCTCACCTCAATTAGAAACGGTGCAGCAGCTGTTTCACTTTTCAGTAAAGCTTGAGCTCCTTCGGAGCTAAAATACCTCCTTACCCGAATACTAGGAAAATATTAAGGAATATGTTAAATAAAACCCGAACTTCTTAAAAGTTGTTCCTACCAATGCAGCCAATAAGAGGTTGCTTTTAGTCCTCGTGCGCCACTGTTTAGCAACAACGCTGATTGGACGTTGTGCTCAGCGCTGTTTGCGATCAGCCAATAGGTGCCGTTTAGCGGGCAGCGTCGCAGTGTTTACCCGGAAATGACAGTCGTTCCTAACAACTGTTGTGGAAATCTGTAGTTTACCTATTACGGACCGTTTAAAATACAGTGCAATCATAAATTACCCGGATATGCTGAATATAATCTACTGATTCGTTATGTACAGCGGACTCCTGCCCAGTGGTTTAACCGAAGACGACCTCAGTTCAGATGACGAGGAGGACAAGCCGGGTGATTTAGAAGACGAGAAGAGGGAATTTGAAAAGGGCTCTGCTAAAAATACATGCTCGCTGCAGGAGTCACAATCGACTCACACTGCAAACAGTGACTCTCCGACATGCAGTATGCCTGGCATATCCCAAGAAATGTGGCAAGTATGTTGTATTGATCTTATTTTTCATTCTAAGTACAGGCTAACCTCTTTGGTTTTAGTGATGCCTGTATAAATGAAGCTAACTCTGAAAGTTAGCTTCACGCTAGCTATCTCTAAGTTTACATTTACTATTGCTGCAGTACCCCCAGCCCAGCTCAGACTTAAGCTAACGGTTCATCTGAACCCTCTTCGTATGTCACATCTGTACAGCTGCAGCAGAAAAGAATCAAGAGTAGTGATGCTGTATTCACTTTGTATGTGTCTTTAAGAAATTCCAGGATCTGCGGAGGAAGAAAGATGATATAAGGATATTAAAGGTCACAGAAGACAGAAGAAAAAAGAAAAGAAGAAAGCGAAAGAAAGGTAATGTAGTTCTACATCCAACAGATGGGGGAGTTTTTGAAGAGTTCAGTAGTTCCAATATCAATATATTGGCCAATATTAGTACCTTACTCTGCTCTGCTGCAGGTGCTGCAGATACTGCAGAGCGTTTTGGAAGAAGTGAAACTTGAGTAGCTCTGCTGGACATACTGTGTGAAGACAGTGTTCATAAAATAAGCACCTTTTATAGCGAAATGTATTTATAATACTGATATATTTGTGATAGGCTAGTGATAGATTGGTTGATAATATTGGCCAACTAGTTCATCAGTCAGGCTCTAATTGTTTGCACATTTTTCCAGTGGACAAAATATTGGTCAATTTGTAAGAAAATAAACCTTTGTATTTGATAGAAACTTACCTTAAAGGTAGTCGAGCAACTTATTGGTACACATGGTCTAGCTAACATCTGAAGTAATATCAGGGGTGCCAAACATAAGGCCCGAGGGCCAGACAAAGATTCCAGTCCGGCCTACTGGATGTCTTTGGAAAATCTGAAGGAAGATATACATTTTAACTATATTTTCATACATTTTTACAGCTTAGTCTACTGATAAAGACTTCTCCCGAAATCATTCATACTCCCCCAATGTAATGATGTTAAACAATTAAACGACAGTGTAATTGCACTATGTTGAAATTGCACTTCTTTTTCTTATATTGAGATAGCTCAGGTATTGCTTATGCAGTTAAACTACTACATAAAGGGGAATTTCACTGGTTTGGCCCACTTAAGATCAAAGTGGACTGTACGTGGCCATTGATGTAAAGTGAACTTGACAGGCAGACTCATACAGAAGAAACCTACGTATCATTAACTTGTTTGTTTTGTGTGTGTAATTTCACAGGAGCAGAAAGTGGGGAACCTGCAGAAACAAGGTACTGTTACACAACATTACAGACTATGAATAGTCAGGTAAAGTGAAGGATGTTTCCTTTCCTGTTTGTCAAACTATCCTTGCGGGCAAATTCCTTACAAAATGCTGTCGCCACAAAGTATGAAAAACACATAGATTTGATTAGAAGGGTAAAGAAAGAAATACAATCAAGTTAATAAAAAGATGGACACTAAATATGTCTTATTGCAATGCTGGTCTACATGAGCATTAACAGTCATTTTCTCTGTCAGCAGAGAGCGTCAAGAGGAGCGGGAGAAGCACTGGGATGAGCTTAAGCAGTATTTTGGTGCAAATGATCGATTTCATCCCCCTGCATGTTCCAAACCCCCTCCGAAGGTAACAAAGACTGCCTTCCAACTTATCTTCTGAGGTTTAATACTGTGTCTGTCTTAGCTGTTAGAAACACCTTCACATCCTTTGTGTTTCGTTGCCACTGTACCGTCTCATTGTTTTACGTGATATGACATGTGGATTAGGGGAACCTTTATAATAACTCAACCTGACACTGAGAAGTACATTGGGGATTATGCTCAGCTACGTTTAGTGATAAGATTAGGGTGAATCTGCTTTCTAGCGTGGTTAAGATTCAAGTGAGATGTAGGATTTTTTTTCTTCACCTGCAAAAAGACTGAAAATCTAAGTGTTGCTTGGCAGAAGATGAGATGGTTACAGCCTCTGTGACTGCAGCTGGAACAAAGACAAAAATGTAAAACTGAACTTTCTTCCATTTGAGTGTATTTCAGCTCTTAAAGATGACCAAACCTTTAATGCAAAACAATTGCAAATTGCTAATGAAGCAAAAATATTTGCGAGCTTAATGAACATTACGAGTGACCCAATGAATGGGAACTGTTCTAATTTCAATGTGAAATCCCTTTAATGATTATTTTGGAGTATTTTGTGCTTAATTTATCTCAGCAGCATAAGATTGAGGGTTTTTTCTTTTTTGTTATGAATTTAGCCTCATTTTGAATGTGGTGCCAAGCTGGATGTAACAGAACTTGCCACATTATCATGAGGTTCTCTTTCATCACTCAAATGCAGATCCTTGTAATTAATATATTATTTCGAGTCTAGCAAGTCTTTCAAACAATTTGTAGTGAGGCAATTGAGGAAAAACTATATCACAGTTGCCAGATGTGATTATTTATCTGGCAGCAGCTTCTCCAAACCCTAGCCTTAAACACAGTTCACAGCATAAACGATGATCGTCTGTCCGAGTTCTGCTTGTGAGAAACTCCCGGTGATAACCGGTGAGCTCACGAGTCGGATCGGGTACGTTCAGGACATTGAACTGTAATGAGCACACTAAATCAGAGCTGACCAATCAGAGTCAAAAAAAAAAAAAATCTGCATTTTAAAACTTGATGTTTACTTTACTGTACTTTTACAGTGAGTCAACAATACATCAGAGGGGGCACATTAATAATTGCAGTTTCTTTCCAGTGTATCTCTTTTTTCCACCATGATGAAATTTGGGGGGGCTGAAGAAATCTGGTACTCGGCTCGCTGAGATAGTCTCATCACAGCAGAACTGCCTTGCCATCAGTGACCGGGGGCTTCTCGGCACCCCCCTCTGCTTAGGCCTGTAATGGAAATGTGTAATTAAAGAGTCACATTTATGTTTGGTAATCTCCTGTAGCATTTCTAAGATTTCCCCACTAATATCCAATCAAAAAGGTTTTCATTTGTGAAGCGAAATCTACATATTTGTAGTAATGGCAATCATATTAAAAATAAGGCCCTGGGGACTTTTGAAGTTACTCTTTGATTTTTTTTTCTCTACCCCTATTTCAAAAAAAAAAAAAAAACGAATTTTTTTCCCCCTCTTCTGCAGTCCGGCCTAGAAAAGAGCATAGAGAGGGCCATAGCTGAAGGGGACATTGCAAAGGCGGAGGAGATGAGCGACAGACTCGCCACTCGAGAGGTACGTTGTGCTGATAAGAGATCTTTGGGGTGCTCCCGCTGTGACAAATCAGGCTAATGGATCCGTGGCCATTTCTGCTGCAAAGACATAGAGGAACAAAAACACACGCAGACATCCACCATTCAGTCCTGCAGCTCTTTTCCATTGAGTTAATGGAAAGCCCTCCCCTTAGTTTTGAAGTGCGGCAGTGTCTAAAGGACTTTTGGCTCTGCTTTTTAATGAAGGGTACATTGCTTTCAAGCCAACTGTTAAATCATTCTCCAGGTAAGAGTTTCATACCTTTGAAGTGTACATGTCCCTAAATGCAGTGCCTGAAGTTTTGTAACTAACCGCCTTGGCAGGCATCAAGGATCAAGTGGTTTGAAACTAATTTAGCATAAAATGTAGCCCACACACACATAATTGTGGTTAAAAAGACATACAGCTGCAGCGTTACTTCTCCGCCGGAGCATCAAAGTTAAACTTCTTTGTTTTATGATGCATTTTGCTTACAGCGTCGCATGAGCATTTTCATTTTGTAATAGTGGCAACAAAAAGATGGAACAGGCTCAGGTTTTCCTGGCATCTGAGGATTTCAATTTGGAGTTATAAGGTGGCAGGGGCCGTCCATTTAACGCTGCTCAACAGAAAAATTAAAGTTATTTAAACGTGGTGTTCAAAAATGTAACTTCTACTCTCATGTTCACGTAGTGGACAGCAGCTAGAGCCATTACTGGCTTCGCTGTGGAGTAGAAACATAGGAGGTGCAAAGGATGTGATTTATTTCGTTAAAAAAAAAAATCTGGATATGATTCGATTTAAAGCAAGTAATCGAAAAACAAATTGCAACCAGAACCTCTTGAATGGATAAGGAGGTTTCTAAATGAAAATATCAACTGTGCTAATTGTGTGAGCATTACATTTGTGACCCAGTATCTCCATTGTGTAATAGACATTGGTGTGCAAGCATTAGAGCCCCTTCATATTTCCATTCTAACTGCGAGCAGAGTGATCGAATATGAGGGAGTTAAATGAAAGCTCTTGTGAGTGGCACCTGTGCTGTACTTTCAGAAAGCCTCTTAGAGCGCTGGTGGATTGGTTTTAGCCTGAGCTGAGGTTCTCGCCTCCCTGGCACCTGCCTTGTGTCTTGCCAGAGCCGTGATGGGACCTGACAGCAGTTTGGCAGCCGCAATTCATTGTTAGGCAGTGATAACTTCATTTCAAGAGAGTATAGATTTGACTATTTTTAAATCCCTAAATGCTAGCTGATGCAAAGTTGTACAGGGGTTCTTTCGAATTCAAAGACAAGCAGTCCTGCTCATAGTAAAAAAAGAAAAAAAAATGGGAGAGAAATGGAAGCTAAAAGCCAGAAAGTTTAAGGGATTCTGAATCAGATATAGAGGATTATAGTGTATATTAATGCAGCCTGTAATTCAGATAGCATTTAGGACCAGAGTGTTTGTTTACCGCCTTCCTGTTCACGTTGATGGGAGCACTGTGACAAACATTTAGAGGATCAATAATCTCCGCTGTGGCCAGAATCAATTTCAAGGTTATAATTGAGTGGCTCATTTGGCACGGAATTGCTTAGATGTTTAATTTGTTTACGGTCATAACATCCTGACATGATTGTGGCAGGCTTTTCACTCGAAGAATAGGAACAGGTTTTCTTCGCGAAAAATGCAAAAGCATTCCGACAGCTGTGAAGAACTAAAGAGGCCTGTTTGTCCCTCTAGGCATTGTTTTGTAAAGAAAATGCTGGTACATGTTGGATGACAATGTTTCAGAGTATTTTCATCCTCAATCTAATGCATTCCCACTTATCTCCTCAAAGCAAAGGGAAATGGAAGAAAGATAGAGAGCTTGCTGTCAGAATCCCCTCTTTTGTAAGACGGAAATGTTTGTTTCTGCTGTTTTGAGCTCCCACAAATCAATTAATGATTTCCATTTGCTCTACTTCCTTTCTTTCGTTTTTTTTAATCTAAACATTAAAACAATTTGGTAAAACCCTGTTTTGAAGGCTCCTTATAAATTCTGAGATATGTTTTCTTTCATCTGTCAAACTTCTAAGACACACGGCTTGGATATTGCAGGTTGTGGGTTTTTATTCTCATTACAGTTTTTAAATATGTTTCAAAGCTGAAAGCCTTTGTTTTTAGATTAATTCGTGAAGACACGCTCAGATTTTTGAATAAACATATTACCCCTCTAAAGAAATGTTTATTATTGTCTACAGTGCATTTCCAAAGCTTCCTAATGTAGTTTAATAAATTATACAGACAGTTTCTTTTCTCATAAAGATGCCTGTTGATCCTCCTCAGCGCATTTAGATTTCTTTTCACATGCTTTAGAAGACACAAAACAATGTAAAAATCTTCTTGCCTCTAAAGTAGTCTTAATAGTTCAGTAGATTAAAAGGTGCAAGTCCTCCAATTAAGACTTGGTCTCCATCCTTTGATTACTGCACATTATTTTACTTTGCAGCAAGCTGCGTACGGGCTAATTAATTCTGTAATTAGCATAACAAGAAGTGACAGACACATACACTATAAACGGCTCAAAGCATGTCATGAGGCCTGATAGCATCCAGCAGCTCATATTTAGCAGATTGATTTTTCTGTTCCTGGTAAATGAGCTAGTATGAAAAGATTATAACTGATAAGTAGTAAAGAAAATCTTATGTTATCTTATGTTTATCTGTAGTCACTGTATCAAACAGGATCAAATGCAATAAAACCAAAGCAATCAAAGGGTTATACTTACTTTTTCACACAACTATAAGAACTGAAATCTACTCAATTTCTACATCTAACTCTACTTTTTGACTGGGTGCCACTTTAGCTCACATGGTCAGACTGCAGCGGCCCAGATTTGAGTCTGACCTGTTGACAAAACCCCCCAAAAGCTTAAATCATCCATTAAATCATCAGCGTCACACAAAACATTCAAAATTACTTCTGGAATTTGTGTGATTGTGATTTACATGTAACAGGAAGAGCAGTGGACCAACGATTGAGCCCTGTGGGACACCATAATAAGGTGCTTTCAATATCTAAATAAATATGATTTAAGCTACCAGGTTATCACACTCAAAAATTTTATATCCATACATCCATCTTTTCTATCCACCCTACTTGTTAACGATTCAATTCAGGGCCGCAGGGGTGGGAGCCCGAACCTATGCTGCTTGTCATTGGTTGGGAGACAGGCACACCTCTCGACATGTAGCCAGCTTACTATTACAAATTATTCCTAAGTCCTTTGAAGGGTTATTAGAACCATGCAATTTTTGGAACAATGTGTACTTATTCTATAATGACTGTACTCTAAATCGGACACTAATGTAAACTACTTTCTTTGCTGCACTAATCAACATTCTCATTGTAGTACTTCAATCAACAGGAAAAATGAAATATCTATTTAATTAAACAGAGCCATTGATCTGTTTTTGAATGTATCCGTACATTTGCTTCATATACAGTAAGTGGGTATATTTCTTTACAAAAGACCATCGTGTTGTGTTAGCCTTTTATTGCCCCATGGCTGTCATCACAGTTATTAGAGTGGCATTAACATTTCAAAACAGAAACTCTCTGTAGTCTGCCACAAACATGGATGTCGGGTGTATTTCATGACTTCCAGGAGCTTAAGGATATGAAAAATGAAAAACTATGTTGCATTGCTGCTGGCCTCACCATCAGGATGGAAGCAGCCCCATGTACATGGCCACAAGTACAAAGAAGGTGTCTTAAAAGACAGTTTTTCTTTTCAGCCTATGCCCTGCAACAGAAAAACCACCACCAACAACAAACTATGCACGACCCAGTATGTTTTAGACCAGAGGCTGACCGGCATTGAACTTTTAAGGCCTATACTGGTATTTGGTGATTTAATTGGATATCGGAACTGCTACATGTAGTCTGGATTGACCTTTTGTCGTGGAGCTTTCTTGTTATGCCACTTTGAGCAATAATAGCATGCTACATCCAAACTGTTTAAAAATGAATCCCTCCTAATAGATCGTATTGTAATTAGCCATATGAATATGTATTAACTGGAGCCATTTATAGTTTCTGTAGCTTTTGAACATGCGGATGGTTATAACATCCCTCATTATGTTCTAGCTTGCATTTCAATAGTGCAGCTGCTGAAAGGAAAAGCCCCACTGTCCTTGAAATCTACCCTTTGGAAAGCCTCGCTTAAACGCTGTGAAACAAAGGTGGCGCGGCATTTTGTCAGAGGAGACATGGTGGCTTAGTTGAAACAAAGAGCTGAACTAAGAGTGTTTCATGATATTTATGTTATTTAACACCTTTTTTCTTCTCGCCACCTTCCCCCCGCCATGCCCTGTGTTTGTAATCAAAAAATTAATGAGCGGTGCTTTTGTGGAAAGTAGGCTTTATCAGATTTTGACTTTCCCCGCCCCACATCAGAGAAGGAGTCTGACTCTGCGAGCCCCCCCAGGCCACCTCGCAGAGAGTTCAGGGAAACTCTCCTCTTTGTTCATTTTTCCTTCAGCATAAGCAATTTATCACTGAATGAACTTTTATTGTATCTCTGGATGACTCACATTAAATTTTCGCCCATTAATTTTGAAATGGATTTTGAAATGGGTACTAAGCTTTTATCAAATGCCTGGGAATCTCATTTGGATTATTGTATTTCATTAATTACTTGATAGACAAAGCATACTTTTCAATGTAGATTTGTGTGCTGTTTAATTAATTAGCATGTTTTCTCTTTTAATTAAAGCCATTTTTTTTTAAATTAAAGCCCACAGCAAAACACATATATAATTTGTTTGTAATTAGGCCTTAATTGGTGGTAGTGGAAGCTTAGCACCCTTGGTTTCTTTTTTCATGATTGCCATTTTATTGCCAGTCACTCATTAATTAAACAGTTTTTTTCTAATTAGCTTATAAAACTGTTGATGGCATATTATTGTAAGTGTGAGTTCAAAGCTTGCTAATAAGCCTACCCTACTCAGAGGAGGCGAGATAATGAAATGGCACAAAGCAGAC